CATTCCCAAAGGCAACAATAACGTCCATGAAAGATCTCAAGGATGTCAGTGCAAACCACAGTGCCTCTCAATAAGGTTTCTGCTAAACTTTTTATAACAATATTATAGTTTTAATAATATTATATTTTATTACACCCCCATTTTTATATTTATTTACTTTAGTTTAACTTTTACCTAAAAGAGGCTAAATTACAAAATGTAACTTCATATAAAGCTGATCTATTTTTCTCAGTGTAATCATGATTTAAACTGTTACAATATGTAATTGAAGTAATTGAAACAATATAGCACATTTGAAAAAAGCTGATGAAAGAAACAAAATCGGCAAATGTCATAGATCTACAGCATAAAAGTAAATTTATGAGCATCTTTTAAAGTAGAGAGAGAGTGTGTACCTGGGGCCTTTCGTACTGTTAGGTAAATGTCGATGTTAGCATTTCTCTCCTGCTCTTACAATGCTTACATTCAGGAGCCAAACAGATGGTCAGACACAGGAAGTTCCTGTGAAGTTCCTGTTGCCTCAGCAGGTCCCAACTTTATTTGAGGAGCCTCAAAGGAGGGGGGGCGCTCCCTCCGCGTACTCAGGCTCCCGCCGCTGGCCCGTGAAGCCCACGGGAGGTGGCTCGCGCACCCCTGGCCCAGTCACGGCGTGTGTAATCAGGCAGATCTCCCCAGGAGCTCGTAAATTCCACATGCAGGAGACACCCCAATTCACTGCTAGCAGACACAGCCGGGGCTGCCAGAATGCAGCCATAATTGGCCAAGCACTGACGGAAGGGGGGGGGGGGGGGGCGCTCTTTAGCATGTCACGCTGTTTACCACCTCCACGAAAACTCTTAAAAAAAACAAACGGCTGTCTTAAAGGGGAAGTCAGCGCAAGGAGAAAGAGGGAAAATGGAAAAAGATGATCCATATTCCGAGGGCCTTTAAAAGCAGGGAGGCACCTCTTGGGCCTCCTGAGTGTGCAGCTTTGTATGTCGTCTGTGCTAATTCCTCCCAAAATGCCAGCCAGGTTTCTCCCTGTTAACTTTCCTCCCGGCCTGGTAATTACTGTTTTCAGAAAGTGCGACTGAAATGCTATGGTATGGAATTTAAACAGCTAAAAATACACATGAAAGCCTTACCCAGAGCTCCATAGAGGTTCTGAAACAATCTGCACTTATAGTCCAGTGTGATATTTATAGATTTCTGAAAGAAAAAAAAGATTAAATTCATTATACGCAAATTACTTTCACCACACCATATTTAAAACAGACCATACATAGATTACATCAATTATCATACCAGCCGCCTAAAATGCAGCCAAGGTGGAACAGAAAATATTGTCTAATTAAGCGCCTTTTGTTTTTTTTAATGTGCAGTTCATGTCATCAGAGCATAAAACCAGATAAAAGGTGGGTTTTCAAGAACGATAAATGAAATGTAAAAATTTTAAAAATACCCTTTTCTCTGGGTCGATGAAAATCTTGGTGTAAAAAAGCTGATCACTTTCATTGTCTTTTCCCGTCCAGTTTGTGACCAAAGCTTTGAGGTTAGGCACATAGCCAATGAATCCTGCAGGAAGACCATAAACACAGGGAATGTCACCTACAGGGACAGGTCAGAGCAGACTGATGACGACATATTTAGCCAGGTGACCCAAGGCAGATGCTTTCAAGGGAATTAGTGAGGGTCTGTCCTTGTGAAATAAAAGCTTATGAACAGCCAACAAGACAAAACATTAGATTTGATCACAATCTTCATTACTTAGGCAATTTGTAGGCAAACTTCAAAGAGCCGGGGAATGAACAATTGCAGTAACATGTAACTGTGATAACCCTGAAGCAACAATGCGACGTTTACAAGTGAAAGGCATGTGGCACGTGCCTCCAGAGCCCAGGAACCTCTTGCCCTCCCTGACATGAGGGTACTTGTCCTCCAGGTGCCGGTCGGGCCAAATGACAGCCTCTGCTGAGAAAACCACCCTGTGCCGGGCCTGCTGGAACTTCTTCAGCATCTCCTGAGGACCGGATGCGAAAACCACGTCATAGCTGTGAGAGGTGNGGTCATGCATTAACACAAAATAATTAGCTGTGGGTTTTCAAAGGGCAACTGGATTCAAAGATTCAAAAGCTTTATTGTCATTTGAACAACTACAGTTTAATCAAGGGTGCTGCTGGACATTTTGGATTTGATAGATTTTATGTTACAATATGAACACAATATATAACAGCATTAAAGTTGGCCAAGGTTATCTGTTGAGTATCTTTAACAAGCCCAAAGTAATATTAATTCATGATAAATCTTTACTGCCACGATATACAACAGGCTTGTAAAACATGTTCTGACCACAGAGTGGATCATATCTCCTTCACCTGTCAATGAATAATATGATCTTGTCTTCCCCTTTCACCTCCTCAAGGGCGGATTTTAAGAGCCGGACCTTCTGACCCCCTCCAGGTACAGACATATAATCACCGCCTCTCCATCTCTCACCCCTACCAAGCACCTTCAGGATCAAAATAAAAAATAAAAAATAAAATTTAACATTTACAAATCTATCCACATTACTGCGACATATCACACCCTTAAGCGTGTAAAACAATGGATTTCTCTGGCACACAAACACAGCAATGCATTTTGAAAAAGCAAACCAGAAAATCATTTTACCATACCTTAATAGTGTAATTGAAATACCGTGCAGATCTCATAAAACGCTTAAAACCTTCAGTTTCCTTGGTAGCTACAGTAAAAACCAGGAGTTTGTCTGCAAAACACGCAAGAAATAAAAGTTCAAATTCATATCTCACTCAAAAGCAGGCTCAGATTTCCAGCTTTTGTACGTGCATCGGCCGTAGGCCTAGGCTCTTCCCTTATTGACAATCATCCAAAGTCATTCATTCAGGATACCTTTCGATCATTTTCTATTTATAACCTGGCTTGTTCACTACCTTGTGTCTCGTAGGGACTACACGTAATATTCTATATTACGCTTGCTCGACCTGTTGTATTTTTTTTAATCCTCAAATATATTTTACCCAGAGTTTCAATGTTCTTTTTAAAACATATTTTAATAAACAATGTTTAGGCATTTTGGGAATTTGAAACGTAGTTGCAATATCAAGAATGTAACAGAAAAAAAGATGAAGTGTCCGACCGCAGCACTTAAATTTACACCAATGGTTTTACGGTTTGTTTGAAATAAGCGGTCGGACAGTGGAGTCCAATAAACTTCCCAACGCTACAATGTAACTGTGCCTCGGACAGAAACGCGCATAATCGGAAGAATTTGATGCATGAACAAATTAAAGGCGTCCAGACGACATTATAGTGCATCGCTCCCATTCTAACCCACCACACCGTACAGACCACTGCCCACCAGCGCAAATGACCGAAACAGTCAGGTTTTATCCTCCTTTACAATGCCACTAAGAAATCGCACCGCATGCCGCTCTGAAACCCGGGTTATTAACAATCCCGTCCACGTCAGCAGCGCAGGAAACCTCAGGAAAACTTCTTTACCGATTCAACACCCACTTCTACTTGTATGCTACTGGGTTATGAAACAGCCGATTGTGTCGCCTAGATGTCTATATTAAAACATTTCCAATGCATAAATGACAACAGAGCCCGCACCCGCCCAGAACTACATATTGCTGGCGCCGATTAACGTTAAGCTAACACTGACTGTGATAAGATAACTGTAACTACTTAAGCAGTCATATAAACCAACACAGCATGCTCTCGCTTTAAGACAGGCCTATTTTTGCCGTTTGCGTTTTCAACCTTTACAATTTACGTACCGTTTAGAGTTATATGGAGGGCCGATTTTTCTAAAAGCTCCCTTACCTTCGGGTATTGAGGGCTGTTGCTCGCAATCTATGTCTCCAAGCAAACAGCCTAGAGATATAACCGCACAAACTGAAATGATGGTAGTATGCATTCTTTAAAAGTCGGTATATGCGGATCCCTTTCCTTGGGTACAGGGGAGAAAAGCGTCTGCTGGCAACTTTCTCTTTCTTAAAGCGAAGTTACTCTCGTACAGTAAACTTAACAGCCAGCCGAGATTTGCTCTCCACCCCCACTCGCACGCAAAACCGTGGGCTCCCTCCCACGAATCAGCACCTCTGCGGATCTTAAGGGAACATTTTACAAGATGAAAAATATAAAACAAGAAAATATATGATGGAATTTTACGAGATGAATATCTTCTGAGATTTACATTAACCATTTATTAACCGTGAACATTGTTGCAAAATAATTCTCATTTAGTTCTTTAATTTAAACCTCGATTTCACGTGAAATATTTAGACAGTACTGTCAATTGCGTCAATTATGTTGTTATTCTTTTTAAAAAAAAATATTGTCGACGTTATGAATATTATATGGGATAAATAGTAAACTTTTATAAAAAAAATTCCCAATGTACGTGACCTACAGCACGTACGCGACTGAGTTACGGGGTATTTGCAGATGCTACCTAGTCTGCCTACTGATGCAAACAGATGTGGCCAGCTGTTTACTACCAAGCATTTAATGATATGCTACAGACCAACAGTAACCAGTTATATCCGTTATAAAATTTAGGCAGTCATACCAGAAAATGAAGTCTATGCTGCATATATAGAAAAAGCCTTCCTGTTCACAACCTTTTTGAACAAGGGAACCCCAAAATGAAAACAGACCAAATATAGGGACACACTTCCACGAATGTACGATGACATAAGTAAGTAAGAACTGCGGTCAGGCGGGCTGGCTTCTACTTATTTTTTCCGGGATGGGGGTTCCTTTCGGATATTTTTATTTTTCTCCTTTAAGTATTTTTGTCGCGCTTTGAGAATCGGATGATATCACAGGTCAATTTATAAAATATCTCTGCATATCCCATACAACTACCCGACGCAGCTGCTGTGCACTGCGAACCCAGCGACGTACACCATTTAAGCAACATGATCAAAATACGGCAGCCGACCATGTCGTAAATTACTACGTCGTAGTTTTTTCCGACTTCCGGTTACTATCTTTTACCTGATTTACGGCAATCAAGCGTCAGTTCGCACTGCGAAGAACAGGAACTGGTGCGATTTGGGGGGTAATGGAGGTCCAGCAAACCCTGACCAGGAAAAGGGCTGCTGAATATGCGACAAAGTGAAATTAAGACAAGAAAAGGCTATTATGGATGACGCAAAGATTGTTAAAATGTGAGATAAGTAGAATGTGCCTTGTTTCGCAGTCTGGCGAGCTAGCTAGGAAACCTGCTGAAGTCTGTTTATTTTGCGTGTATTTGAAGCTGGACTCTCCGCTTTCATTATATAGAGCAGCATAATATTTCCTTGAAAGTCAAGTGGGCAGAATAATGTAATTTTATTCTATTCCATTGCAGTGTACGCCTTTTTATCAAAAGCTGATTGGTTTAATTATGGTAGCTAGACTAGCAACAGTAAAGAAAGTCGTCAGTAAAAGGTATTTTTGTGCAACTAATTAGCTATGAGTTTTCCGCTGGAAACTGTAAATGCACTTGCCATTTTAAACATTTCTGGCTAATTTTTGGTGGTAAGATTCCCAGTTCTCTGATATTGCCTCCGTGAAACACAACGCAAGGAAAGGCACAGGGCGTTTTTTGTAACTTCTGCATGTTGAATATATTAAAATGTGGCTTCAGCAGAGATTAAAGGGCCTGCCGGGATTGCTGTCTAGTAGTTGGGCCAGGAGGATTCTTATAGGCGTGCTTCTGTTCCTTGTTTTTTATTGGTATCTTAGCTCAGATGGCATTTTGAAATTTTTGAGTCACTCAGGGGAACTAGGGGGTGCAACAGGACTCTGTCTCCATGCGGCCATGCAGAGTTGGAAACCGCATGTTGACTGGGGTGATGGTGTTGTCATCGGCCCCCAGAGTAAAACCCCTGTACCAGCCGTGGTTGGTAATGGACACTTCTTGGTAGACATAGACGCTAACAGGCTGTGGGTGGCCTCATCCTCTCAGGCCAGCTCAGTTCCAGTTCACCAGACCGAATATTCTCCCATGGTCACACTGGATGTGCCGGGAAAGAGGGCAGAAGCACATTCTGGGGTCATCCTATTCAACAAGGGCTCCATGGTGTCCGTCCACTGCGTTTCCGTGTTGGCCCGGGAGTGCATCACCATCACAGAGGAGCTCGTTGCTCACCGGAGCCGGCCGAATGTGTTCCTCCAAAGGATCCGCATCGTCAATCCGTCTGAACGGACGGTTAACATTGACGTGTCGTCCGTGTCACCTTCGTACGGGAGCAAGTTCTCCTCCAGCGTGGAGAAGACCGAGGAACGGGAGTTCATCCTGTCCTTTGGCAAGGTGATGACGGAGAAAAACCACATTGTGCTTGTGGTTGTGGCCATCAAGAAGCTTCCCGGCCGTCTGCAGCTGGCAGGAAAGTCAGAGTACGTGGAGAACGTGCTGTCAGCGGTCTACACCTCAGAGCCCATCGAGTCCTCCAAGGTGGAGGAAGCGTTCACAAAGCTTCGAGATGCGGCGAAGAAAGAGATGAGTGAGCTACTGAGAGCCAATGTGGAAGACCTCATACAGGAACACAGACAGGCCTGGACGGACCTCTTCATATCTGGTGAGCCTTGATCTTAAATGTTAGCATTAACGTTGATTTTTCTGTTTAACATTTGAGATGGTCATTGCAGTCTACCGATACAGTATTGTGCAAAAGTCTTAGGCAGCCAAAGAAAATGAGGTTTAAGTGATCTTCATGTTAGCGTAAAACTATAAGATCTGTCAAAGTGTGTTAGCTTAGCCATTTCAAAACCTCTGCTAAAACCCACAGTATTTGCAGTAACCATTCAATACACCCATGGATGCTACCGCTAGCACACCTTATATAGCTAACCAATATCTCATTGACTTTTTTAACTAATTTATTTAATTAATTAATTGAGCTGGTAGTCAAATTTAATAAATACGTGGAATCACTCAGGTGCCTCTAATAAGAGGTTTGGGAACCAGAGTGGTGTTCATCTAGCCATCCAACTTTTTGGAGAAGGGAAGAAATTCTTGATATTTTTTATTGTGTTACTGTGCATTTTCATATGTTCTAATGTTAAGTAGTATTTTTTGTTTTGGGCAAATGTGCACTTCTCAGATAGATAAATACCTTTAAGCATTTCTTTTGACTTCCTAAGACTTTTGCACAGCACTGTATATCATAAAAGCTTTACTAGGTGAAAAGAATAAGGGGAGGAAAAGTAAATGGTCGTTTTATATTTCTATGAGCATCGGTAATAGTAGTTTGAGTTTTAATAAAGGTCTGGAGTACTCCACTGCTAAGGCACTTTTCATTCTCTGCTGTGGTTAAACCCTGCCAGGCATCGAAATGCGAAAGATCACCGACTCGCACACGCCCTCCAGCAGCACCGTGAACAGCACCCTCTACTACGTCCTGTCTGCCTCTTCAGCGCCCCTGCTGGACAGGAGGATCAGTGCAGAGGAGCATGAGAAGTTGGAGTCCAGTCTGAACTACGCAGACCACTGCTTCAGCGGCCACGCCACCATGCACGCGGAGAACCTGTGGCCGGAACGTGTCAGTAGTGTGGCGCAGGTGCTGCAGCTGGTGACGCTCTGGAACCTGACGCTGCAGAAGCGCGGCTGCAAGGCGCTGGTGGCGGCGGGGGCGCACGGCGTCATGCAGGCTGTGGTGCTCAGCTTCGGCGGCCTGCAGTTCACGGAGAACCACCTGCAGTTCCAGGCGGATCCCGACGTTCTACACAACAGCTACGCCCTGCGCGGCATCCACTATAACAAGGACCTGATCAATCTGGCCGTGCTGCTGGATGCCGAGGCCAAACCGTTCCTGCACGTGTCCGTCAAGCCCCAGGAGAAGCCCGTCAAACTGTACGCCTGTGAGGCCGGCTGCGTCAACGAGCCTGTCGAGCTCACCTCCGAGACCAAAGGCCACACCTTCCCCGTGATGGTGACCCAGCCAATCACGGCCCTGCTCTATATCTCCACCGACCTGACGCACCTGCAGGACCTGAGGCACACGCTGCACGTTAAGGCCATCCTGGCACACGAGGACCACATGGCCCAGCAGTACCCTGGGCTGCCCTTCCTCTTCTGGTTCAGCGTGGCTTCGCTCATCACTCTTTTTCACCTCTTTCTGTTCAAACTCATCTACAACGAGTACTGTGGGCCCGGAGCTAAGCCCCTCTTCAGAAGCAAGGTATAAGAAATGGTCACAGGGCTGCTCTTGCTTCTATTTTTCCAGTAGCAGAGACTCTCTAGCCTCCAACGTGTCTTTTTATATCTCTCTGTCTATCCCTGGTGATCTAGGACTCCTGAACTCGTTAGAGATTCTATTCATGGGCCGTTACTGTCCTACCTAAGCAGACAAACTGTCATAAGTGATCAAATGATAATTGACTTGGATAGAATCGTAAATATGGGTAATTTTGGGATTTGGTTGCATTTTCCGAACCTTTTTCTGTTTCCAGGGTTGCTAATATATATATATTTTTTCCCTCTGTGTTAAATCAACTTAATTCAGAGCTTTCCAATATATTTCCAAATTGAAGAAAGTGATTCTCCTTTTTTAGAACCAGAATTTATTTATTTCATTGTTAAATTAATAGTTTTCCATCAAAATTAAAATATTGTATATATATTTTTGAAGGCTATAATGGAAAAACCCATCTTTTTGAAAAGGCTGAATATTTTTATTTGCAGTGGTATTCTGCTATGGTTTAAAAATATTGCCTTAACAGGAAATACTGAGAGATATCTATGGAACGGGTGTCCAGCAGAGCCTTCAAATATTTACATGTTTTGCAAGGCCTTGTTGTCACACCACGTTAATTGTTTTGTACTGGTATTCAGCATTTTTGAGTCGTGTTTTCTGCTGGGAATGTTTTTACCATCTTTTTTCCCCCCACAAACAAACAGTTTAACAAGAACCATTTATTGACTCATATTCAGTCTTTTTGTGTTTTTACCCATGATACAATCAAAATGTCTGACAGGCCCTGTAACTTAAGCTATCATGAGATGGTATAAGCAGTTCATTAATCCTGAAGGCTGTTGGGTTATTTGTGTTCTTGCAATGTGAAAATGTGCGGGATTGCCACTTTAAAAATCAAGGTGTGGATTTGTCGTCATGGTGATGGGATTACGCGTATCTTTTGGGAGTGGGTTGAGTTTGCTGTGTTCAGCTATAATCTACTGAATCAGGCTTTGTTTGAGGCGGTTTGTGCTGTTATTTTTTTTTAATTTGATTAAATTAACACAAGCACTTACTGCACGATTGTTGCCTCTTTAATGATTGTGGTGATTTGATAGCCTTTCGCTGTCCCATTTGGATCAATTTCACAAGGTACTGACTGTGAACCACAAGACTGTAAAACCCACTTTCCTTCAAGCTCACTTCTTAACCAGTTCAAAATTAACATACTTGGGATAAGTATTTAAAAGTATTTAGTAGGGCTGGGTGATATCATATCGATATTTCATTGCGCATGTGCAATAATCACCAAGGCTTCGGTGCTATACGGACATTAACTTACGCCCACAATTTGTTAAGCAGTTTAGTAGTATGGCTGAAATATTAATGAAGCTTTGTATGACGCCCAAAAGTCATTATTAGTATAATTACGGCACATCCTTATGTTTAATAAATGTGTCAGTCTTTGATCTGCAAAAAGTACCACCAGACCGCCGACGTCTTTTTACCTTGTTTATCCAGAAGATCTCCTCTTTTAAAAGATGTTGTGGCTGCTCTTCTTCACCGCGACTTCAGTGCATATTGCACTGAGGTATACCAAACCGTAGTATACCAAACCGTAGTATAGCAAAACAGTATTATGTGGGGTGCTTCGCTAATCAAATTTAAGAAACATAAAGTTTATACAGATTACTAACTTTTGGGTATCACAAAATGCATCTCATTAATATTTAAGCCATACTACTAATCCTCTTACCAAATTATGGGCGTAAATAAGTGTCCGTATAGCACTGAAAAGCTGCCGTCTGGCCAAATGCTTCGTCTGTCATCTGAAGCCCTGGTGATTATTGCACATGCGTGATCTAATATCAATATGATATCGCCCAGCCCTAGTATTTAGTACTGTATACAAACATAACTAGGTACAGACTCTCCTGGCAAAGCAATGATAATATTAATAACGCCCTTGCTAACTTTTCCACTCATTTTGACAGGGTGATCCCGGTGTCTGACAGCCATCGGATGCCCCCTTGCACAGGGATCCCCCCCCACATTGGCAGTTCAGCTGCAGGTCGGAGTTTAAGCTGAAGGTTCAGTCACTGCGTTCTTTCCGCTGTCCTGTCCTCTGTTCATCGTTTTTACCTGGCATTTCACCTCAGGGTGCCCTGTGCTCCAAGGCCGTCATAACCCAGTTCTGGATAAACTGGTATGGAAAATGGATGAGTGCAGTGATTTTTCTCTTGTCAAATATTGACTGAAGTTACAGAATTCAATGATTTCTCTGCAATGGCCAACTGATACACTGTGTCTATGTGTGTTGTTTTTGTCTGTGTGATGTTTGGAAATGTCTTTTATTATTAATACTTTTAATTGTTATTTTTCTGGTTGGGCAAGCGCACATGGGCGGTGGTGGCTTGATGGTTAGGGTAGCGCACTTGTAATTGAAAGATTGCAGGTTTGAGTCCCCCACCAGCAAGTCACCACTGAGGTACCCTGAGCAAGGTACCGTCCCCAAGCACTGCTCCCCGGGCGCTGAATTAGCTGCCCCCTGCTATGTCACGAAA